GCCAATGTTTCACTGTTATGCAAACTAGGATGAGAGCTGCGAGAGAGGAGCGAGAGCAAATGAACTGAGTGATTCAGGGACACAGGAACATATTGAGGACTGAAATGTCAAGGGAAAACCACATCCAGGGATCAGATTAGTTGATTTTATATATTGATGATCATGTGTAGGTTCACATCTGGATTCGATGCATAAACTTCAATAACATTCATAATGAGATGTGTTTTACAAGCTGACTTCATAAAAGCTCGCGTTCACATGGGATTATCCCACTTCTGATCATCTGCAGTATCTGCAGCATTTTGTTTTCAGAAATGGTTGGGGGTTGATGATGCTGACCTCAAGCAGCTGCCTTTTTTTCTGATTGCGTGTTCATATTGCAGTCCACAGCAACTGCAGTTTATCTGCAGTACAAAGTTTTGGACTTTCCTTCGCTCCACTTTACAAGTATTTAAATGTATCAGCTGCACTCAACTGATTCATTTTCATACAGCAGAGGCTCAGCTCTTACGTTTGTCATCACCATTAGAATAAAGGTTTTTAGCAGGGGTGGGACTCAATTAAAACAATTAATTAATCAATCAGAGCCTTTGTAAGTGATTAATCTTGATTAATCACATTTTAATCATTCAAGACAATGTATAAATGAAGTCTTTAGTCTGTCAATCAAATTGTTTACAATGTTTTCACCAGCACATCCAGCAGAAATGTTGCATTCTGTACAGATTTAAATATTGCAATTACATGATTGCAGTGCAGAACCGAACAGGATGTGACATTTGACCTCTTAAGTGTTTCTTTATGCACTTGCAGTGATTAACTATGTAATTAAGAGTTTGAGCTGTCAAATGTTGACACTGTGTTATGATTTGCTAGTTTCGTCAAAACTCTGATCCTACTGGATATGTGCAAATGACTGACAAGATTTTAGTCCAGAAAGAAAGTGAGTTTGTTTCTGAGCTGCTTTAGGACACTGTTGATTTTTGGGATAACATTTGTGCCAAAAGGCCCAACCAAGAAATAAAGTGTCACAAAAACGGAGCTGAATAAAGCAACCCAAAACACATTTCAGAAGCTAAAGTATGTATTAAAAAATACATTCCTCTAGGGGAAAAAAACTGATTTGTGAGAAAATGCTTAGATTTCAATGAAACATTTATTTTTGCCTTGTAACCATTTATATTACATTTTTGATGCATGTTTTTGGTTTTTACTTAATTCTGCATTACTCAGACTATGTAGGCTTTCATTCTGGAGGGCATGTTTTGCCTTATGATTTGCTATTTGTTTTTGTTGCACCTCAAATTTGCTTCTACTTTTGAGTTTTTTTTTGCTTTAACTTTAGAAAAAGTCTCAGTGTAAATTTCTGTATGGCAAACAGCTCGAGCCACTCATTCCAAACCTTCATTACCAATGAGAGTGAAGCCCCTTCCACTATTCTAAGGATAAATATTTCATAAACATTTCCTTACAAATTAGTTTTATTTTTTCCTTACAAATTAGTTTTATTTTTTAAAGTGATTTTTATTTATGTGATTTGCTTCTGAAATGTTCTTTTTGGTTGCTTTATCCAGTCATATTTTGCATGGGACTGTATTTTTGGTTAATTAATTTTGCACAAAAATTATTCCATATGTCAATTAAACGTTTGGACCAGATCTGCAGTTTTGCATTTGTCGTTTCACTTCCAAAAGCGCCATGACACAAAACCTAATAGTATATTTTTAAGTGGTAGTAGATCCCGCTTTTTGATCTTGGTATGTAAACTTTCGAATGCTCCACTGATTGATGTTAGACAGGCTCTGTCTCTCTTGAATTTTAAGATTAGGTTGAAGACACATTTTTATTTTTAATTAAATAAGTAAATGGAAGATGTGTTATATGCTCCTTTTGACTGTTTAACTCTTTTTTAAAACAGTTTTAACATAGTGTGCAGCTCCTTAGGTCACTTAAGGTGGTGGAGAAAATTGCTATACAAAACAGAATGAGAGTGAGGATAGTAGAGTCTGGTGTTGCCATACTGTTCTGATACTAGGGATGGGTACCTTTGACATTTGAATCGATACGGTACCAATTCCCGGTACCTACGAATTGATTCCAGTACTTAACGGTACTGATTTTCTGATACTTTCGAGTGTTTCATAATAATTTAAATAGCTTTTTAAATTAAATATATATTAAATATATATTATTTTCCCAATATATAACCATATTTGATGAATATCATGATAAATAACATACAACTGTTTGTATTTTATCATCGTACTGTTGTACAAATTGTACAAAACAACTGTTTCTAAATGACGCAAAAACAAACCCAGCTCCATGTACTCCTAATCCTCTAATGCCCTCTGGATGAGGAGACCATGTGTTATAAACTTCAGATGAAACTAAAGCAAACTTCGATACAATAGTTCATATGTTAATATTGTGGTGTTCCACAAACTAAACCCAGCTCCATGTACTCCTTTTCCTCTCCTTTCCCCTCTGGACAAACTGTGTGATGGTGGGTCCTTGTATTTTTATAAACTGCAAATTACCCTGAAGCAAACATCTTAGCTGTGAACTAAATTTACTGTGTATCTTCATTCCTTTTGCTGCTCATTTTCAAACTGTTTATTTTTCCTACTCGGACGTTGTAATTTCCGAGGAGAAAGCGAACGCACCATTAGCTGATAGCAATGTAAACAAAAGCTAAACTATCAAACTAATGTTATCTCAAACAGTTTATTTTGCTGCTGGAGCAGATTAAGACGCCTCATACTCAGATCGTTGTCGCTGGTTTCACCATCACCCAACAGCCCATCGCATTTAATGAAGTGAAGCCAAACTTTAGAGTGCGTTCGCTTTCTTCTAGTTGGAATTTCAGAGTTCTGAGCAGAAAGCGAACACACCATTAGCTGAACGGAAGCTAACATATCAAGATAACGTTATCTTAAACATTTTATTTACCTGCCGGAGCAGATTAAGATAATGATGCCTCACTTAGATCGTTGTTGCTGGTTTCATTAACACCCAGTTGCCCATCCCACTTAGTGAAGTGGACCCAAACTTCCGAAAGCTTGGGCCATGCTGCTTTGTTTGCAGCTCGCCCACAGTGACTGATTACTTTATGCTCTTGCGCTGGCGCGGCATGGGTACCGAAAAAAGGCACAGTTTCATATGACGTGAAACGATACTCAGTCGGGATATGGAATTCGGTCAGTGCCTTAAAAAGTACCAAATTCGTTACTCCTCCCTATCTGATATGAATCGATGAAAAATACCTTAATCAGAATCCTGTTGTTTATTGTAGCACACAGATTTTTACCATGTGTTGCCTATTAACGAGGACATTTCTCAGACAACAACACAAAAACATGATCTTTTTAAGAACTTCCTTCTCTTCTCTCACTGTCCTTCATCTTTTGATCTGTTTTGTCAGCATGGCCAGAGGCTAGACTGTGACTGGTTGGCTGTTCTGCTGCGCAATTTGCTCCTTGGCTCAATGAAGACCATGTGCGATGGATGCTGACTCATAGCGAAACTGATAGCTATTACAGTGTCTGTATTTTGAGGTTCTGGAATAAAGAGGCAAGTGTGAGCGAAGATGCAGATGTTTGTGTTTGTCTATAAGATGTTGCCTGTTGTTGAGGTAGAAGTCTATGGCCGTCTGCAAGCAGTTCAGCTACATAAATAGGTCACGCTGGTGAACCTGCCGACTCTTCTATTCCTCTGTGTCTGTTTCATTTTCTTTATCTCTCCCCCCTGAACTGTCAAGGTCCCACCGTCTAATTATAGGCTCACTTTGGCTCCCGCTTCATTGTCTTCCTGTCTGCTGATGCTCCTTCCATCTCGCTACAACCCTCAGTTGTTGTTGCCATGACTACCTTGCAGTGTGCTGGAATGCGTGTTGAAATGAAAGGTGATGACACGCTTAAGTAGATCATTACTGGGTTCATATCTGTGTGTGTGTGTGTGTGTGTGTGTGTGTGTGTGTGTGTGTGTGTGTGTAATAACTGGTTCCTGTAGCATAAATCAATAGTTTGTCAAGTGGTTCTGAACTGGAATGATGACTTTCACTCTGCCTCCAGTTATTAATAGATTCACACCAGATTAGAATATTAACACCAGTTGGAGCATCACCAATAGGGAAGTGAATTGATTATTTTGTCTCTCACGCTCTCGTTCTATTTTTAACCCGTTGCCTCAGGACGTCAGATTAGATAATAACATCCAAGCTAATATGGAGAGGTGCGATTGCCACTCTACAGTTTCCATTAATCGGTCTGATTCACTCACAGTACTTCTGGCCAAAATTAAAAAAAAATAAATAAATATAAATGAAAGCAGGATTTTGAACTGCGGCACTGGCAGCACAGTTATTAATTGCATATGATCAGCTCATCATAGAGATCAGATTTATGAAGGTTCACTGCAGCGCTCCGTGGATTTGTCATGTCATTTCAGAGGCCAGCTTGGGTTAAATTCAGACACACATTAAATGAGTTTCCAGCACATTCCTCATGTAGGCAGAAATGCCATATTGAGGCTCAGAGTCTAATATCGACCCATTATGATTTCTCACATTTTTACTATGCAATGAAATTATGAGTAAAGCTATTTGAAATGTGCAATGGCAATTTTGTTCCCCCGAATGGTCCAGATTCTACCAACCATTTTCAGCTCAGTTGTGGAGGTGTTTAGAACCAAAGCACTTACTAAAAACTTAGACACGCAGAAAACTTAAATAAAACCAACTAAAATGCACACAATGAGATTAAAGAGGAGTTTGCAAGGAAAATGAAGGATGCAAACTAACCCAAAAAAGGAAGAATTTGACTTAATGCAAATAGAATGTTGTGTAGGATAAAGACGAGGTGAAATTGTTTGGAAGAATGTTTGCATAAATTAAAATTATCTTCTAATTTATTTCCTGCCCTGTCTCTCTGTGCTTCCTCCTCCTCCTCCTCCTCCTCCTCCTCCTCCTCCTCCTCCTCCTTCTCCTCCTCCTCTCTTAGCTAAGAATAGGGATCCATACAGGTTCGGTTCTGGCAGGTGTGGTTGGGGTTAAAATGCCACGTTATTGCCTGTTTGGGAACAACGTGACTCTAGCCAGCAAGTTTGAATCAGGAAGCCATCCGAGGTGCATCAATGTCAGTCCAACAACCTATTTGTAAGTATCATTTCTATTAAGATAGAATATTTTTTTGTTTTGCTTCAACAATATATGCATTGACTCAAACGTTAATGTGTTTTTAATGTATTTAAACTTGATTTACCATTTCTACTGTTCCAAAATCCATGGAAGCCCATTTCTGCCAAACTGATAAAAAGAAAAGTTAAAACGTAGCTTTCTCATAATTATGTAATAGCTAAAACATAATATGAGAAACAAGATAATATTTTTTATCAGAGTGGCAGAAATGAGCTTCTATAATTTCCCCTTTTTGTGTATTTTATGTAATTTTGTTCATAGGTTGAATAAAAAAGTGCACAATTTTCACTCTTTCTTCTCCTCAACAGATTGTTAAAAGATGACCGCTCCTTTTCCTTCGTCCCTCGCTCACGGCAGGAGCTCCCAGAGAATTTTCCCAAGGAGATTCCAGGGACGTGTTACTTCCTGGAGGCGGGAACTTCTCACAGCCACGCCTCACTCACCAGCTCTCGCTCCGCTCCTCCAGCCTCCATGAGGAAAGTCTCCTACAGCATCGGGACCATGTTTCTAAGAGAAACAAGTCTGTAGATCCCCACATGAACCAAGCCACACCAGTACTTAACAATGGGAATTATGAATGATCTTTGAACCCAAGGAACACGTAGGAAACACAAATTTTGGGATATGCAAAAGCATTCTGTAACAACTTGGATACATGCTTTCATGGAAAAGAACAACGTGCTCTTCACTCCTCCTGATGAACTGGGAATCTTCTATAAGACTTAATGAACATCAGCTAGACTGGTCTCTTATCTTCCTTGAGGATAGATTTAATCAATTTGTAGAGAAACGTTATTATACACCTTAATGATCTGACTCCTCCTCACACACACACACACACACACACACACACACACACACACACACACACACACACACACACACACACACACACACACACACACACACACACACACACACACACCGTTCCTGGTCCAGACCAAACAGTACAGCGTGGAAATGTGGACAGTGACACCGCCGTTCCACTCAATCATCCTGGACATGTGCAAATAGAACAAACATAACTTTTTAATAATGAGGTGGGTGCTGAAGAGTGAATTTGTAGGACTCGTCACTACAAATGTTTGCTGTGCATCATGTCCTCTTGTACAAGATAGACCACTAAAGAAAACCAGTATACAGCTCCCTGCCCTTAAATCATCTCATTTATTACCAGACATCCATGAGATCAGCTGCTTTTTACCTCTAAACCATCAAACTGAGGCCAGTAGAGCAAATGCAAATGAGAGGCACAAACAAGGAGATTTGTTTATCTATCTATCTATTTATTTATTTTTTAACAGACACTAATCTGAAAATACAGTCTTCTAAACCACAGCAAGTCATAGTCAACAATAAAGTCACCCATTTTAATGTTTTTTCTAGGTTCTCAAAAATAAAATCCCCTCTCAGTGCCTTAATATCCCATTAAAAAGACACTTACAGAAAGGTTTAAAGTAAAATATTTGAATTGCACAGGATGTGCTTCATTAGATTTTTTTTTCTGTTTTAATGAAAGCTATTCATGTGTCAGACATTTGATATCACATTTAAAACGATGCAGGCTACAACCAGCTGCTTTGAGCTGAATCTGGGTTCTGTTTGCTTGTTTTGATGCAATTTTTGTCCTATTAATTTTCTCTGGAAAAAAGATGAAAGTCGGACTGGTGAAACTGGTAAAACTGGTTAAAATGGTCAAGTTTTATGATGTACTGAAATTAATGCATTTGTTCTCATGCCTGCAATAATAATAATAATAAGGCTTTTGTTCTTTATCATACATGTTTTACCTAATATTTTAGATCGCGTTCAACAACACTTTACACTTTTTTGCCCGAATTTATAAAATCGTCAAAAATTAACAGTAGTAATAATCCTTACAATAAATACGTAATCTTAATCAAACTTGTGCACAGAATTAATATGGCCTCATACACTTTCTTTCTTTTATTTGATTTAGCATCAATTATAGGTTTAAACATGTAATTTAAGTGCACTTGTTTTGACTTTAAAATATTAAAAATCTCAGGCCATCCACATTTTTATGGGAGAAGATTTGTGCCAAAAGGATCAACCAAAAATTACAAATATAAAATACAGTCTCACACAAAATATACCAGAATAGAACAACCAAAAAAAAAAACACTTCAGAAGTGGGATTTTCAAATGCAAAAAAATATAAATAATACTACTACTATTACTACTACTACTACTACTACTACTACTACTACTACTAATAATAATAATAATAATGATAATAATAATCACTCTAAGTAGAAAAAGAACTAAATCAAAAAGAAATATTTACATTTCAGAATTAAATTTTTATTTTTACTCTTTAGCTATTCATATTTTATTTCTTTGATACACATTTTTGGTCCTCACTTAATTCTGCATTATTCAGACTTCAACCCTCTCAGGCTCAAAATTAGTTTTGGTGAAAAGGCCAACAACTAAGTCCTTCAGGGGTACTTCTGAGTAAAAAAATGCTCATGAAATACGTATGTGGAGTAGCCAGGTAGGTAGGTTTTAACTGTTGCAAATCTGCAACACCTGCATCCAGAGGGTTAACTGGCTCAGTGACCTAGTGGTATAAGTGTCCACACTGAGACTGAGAGATTATGGGTTCAAATTCATGGTCGGGTCATACCAAAGACGTTAAAAATGGGACCCAATGCCTCCCCACTTGACATTCTTTGTGTTTGAGGGATGAACACCAAATGGTTTCCGAGGGTGGTTGTGTTTGCAGCCCACCACTTCCCCAGGGGATGGGTCAAATACATAGAACACATTTTGCACACACCAGTGTATGCAACAACTAATGGAACTTGAACTTTTGAGGCTTTTGTTCTGTAAGGCAAACAGCTCTTTACTTCAGTTTCACCTCAATTTTGTTTCTGCTCAGTTTTCTGTATTTTTTTTTTATTTTGGCTCTTGCTTTTGAAAGAAAGTTTCAGTGGAAGTTTGTGTATGGCAAACAGCTTGAGCCACACACTCCAAACCCTCATAACCAATTAGATCAAAGCATTAACAAGCCCCTTCCACAATTCTAAATATCAAAAGGCCTAGTTTAAATGTAAAAATAAAATATGTTTTAATTTTGATATTTAGACATATACTCATGAATTAGTTATTTTTCTTTGAAGAGTGATTTTTTTTTTTTTTGCTTTAGAAATTCAAACTTTCCTTGAAATTGTATTTTAAGTAGCTTTTTGGGTGTATTTTGTGTGGAACTATATTTTTGGTTCATCATTTTGGCACAGCTCTAATCCCATACATTTAATAGTTGCTCTTTTAACTTAAACGTGAGAATGTAACCTTCTCCTTTTTTATAATTTAGAATGTCTTTTAATATTTTACATACTCAACATGAACACACCATTATTTATTATTCAGTGCAAATTATTTTAAACATAAGCTGAAGGTATAAAAACACCTTAGACTGCATTAGTGTTCCCTATAAAAACTTATTTTAAAGTCATAACTGATGCAAAAACACATCATAATTTATTCGTGTATTTATTTTTTTTTAGATCTGACTAGTTTAAAACATAGACAGATTTAAACTACTTGTATGTGCTTAAAACTTCAGCTGGTTTCTCTTTTTTGTGTCATGTTTTATCAGCTGACAAAAATACCTTATTATTGTCAGCTGCTCATACAGATGTAAATAGACATGTATGGCATCATCCATGGGTGGACAGGGAGACTTATTTCATAACATTGTGCCAAATGATGTAGCAAAACTCAAAAGAAAAAACAGAAATGTGCCAATTTGATTCAGAGACACCACCAGCACAAGGTTGATCATGGTTTGATTTTCTTTTAAATGAAAGGAGAATACCTGAGCCATCCTGGAACACAGATCATAAAAAAAATATATATTTTATGAATTAAAAAGCTGAATTGTTCATCAATAGCTGGAGATTGGAATCGGAGAGTTAACCTGACACCAGCAGAACAACATGGTTGAAGGAAATATGTCCTTTAGAAACATAAAAGTGCTGAATCTGTACAATAATGAATGATGGCCATTGCTTTTACATTAAAGCAGACTGAAGGACCTGAGGTTAACTTTAAACTAAAAGACAAAAATGAGCAAAGACCTGAATGGTTAAACTTAATTACTTTACTATGTTTATAATCAAGTCATGCTTTGAAATCATATTTATAAAAATGTATTATTAAGTAGTGTCTATAAACAGCTGTTAAATAAAGAAAATGACAATGCAGCAGTTTTTTTCTTTATTTCTTTTTAATCAATTTTTATCAATACAAATATTATTACCTTTATAATTTATTATTATTATTATTACTATTATTGTTATTATTACTACTACTAACAATGACCTAATACATTGTTGTACAGACTTCATTACTGCGGGATAAACCTGCCAAATCGCTCATTATTGCCATAGTTCATTGCTGTCAAGATGTTTTTCTCAGCAGTTTCACGGGAGAGCATAAAAAAGCTCATCAGCACTTTCTTTTGGATCAGTTTCAGAAACGAAAACAAGAGTTTTTGCAGAGGTGGAAAATGTTAGTCTAATTTGAAGAATATTTTTCCATTTGCCTCAAATACAACTGTAGAAACACAACAAAACATGGATGGACTATTTTTTGAAAATATTTTTGTGTTTCCTGGTTGTGAAGGAATAACTAACATTTCTCTATGCAAAAATGTCCAAAATGTCATATTTGCATAGCTTTTAGCTGGAAAATGCTAACTCTAGGCTGCAGTAAAATACTGCTCGTGTACTAATTCAAAACTAGGTGCCAATGGTGTAACTTTAAGCAGAGCTTGTCTGAAATTTGAATTAACTTAAAGAACACTCCCAGCTCCAAATCCAAGTTGGTACCTTTGTGCAATGAACTTGTTATGGAGAGTGTGATGTTTTTAACATGAGTGATCATCAGAAAGCTAAGTTCCATTTTAAACAGAACCAGAACCTGCAGTAGTCATGTGGGACCCATAGTGTTATCTAATGGTTACAAGATAGAAAATCTGAGTTTTTGTGCTACAAACATCTTTCTGCCTGCATTGCTTCATTTTCACATGTCAAACATGTCACTGCGTTGGCAGTAATAATAAACTGTCTTCACAGATGTACGAAAAATCTCCTGAGAGACATCACAGGAAGAGCTCTGCTGTTTAAAACCTCACGTCGCTGCGACTTTCACATGTTAATGCGGTCTGTCCCTCTGGTGATAATGCATATATGCATTATTGTGTTCGTGACAAAGCTGTTGTAGCATAAATGTAGTGCAGGTGTTGTTCACGCTCAGCTTCAGCAGCGCTTTGAGGCTAAATAAAGGATGTTATGCCAGCATCACACCCACACAACTTGTGTCCAGTGCTCAGATCTCCAAGTCTGCATTTCTTGTATAACAGTTGAAATCTGAAGAGCTTTGATGTTGTGTTGCAGGTTCTGGTTCTTTACAAAAGCTATGGACCATTACACGTCAGGTCACACCATTAATTACACACTTTCTGTCACACTTAAAGAAATTAATCACAGAATTTATTTAATTATGCATATTCATGATTCTTTTTATTCATGTTTTTAATACCGATGTGTTACTGATTTGTGTTAAAAGGATGTTGTTTTATGTATGTTTTTTAATCAGGAAGACATATTTTAAAAACTTGTCATCTTTTTTCCAAAGTCCCTCATAGAACAATAAGCCTAAGCTGCGCCGGTCCCTTTTTCTTTCATATTGACTCAGTTCTTAAAGCAGCTATTCGTGTACCTCCTAGGTCATCAACTTAAAAAAGGTAAAATTCACAATATTCAACATTGATCCTCAGTCTGTATGATGTCACTCATCTGAAAATAGTAGCTTTTACTTTTTTCTTTCTTGTGACACAGGAAAAAAAAATTCTTATTTTGTAACAACCTTGGACATGAACCCAGTTTCACCCTGTGGTTGGGATCAGACGTTTGTTGTATTTTAAGGGTGCTTGAAGATAACTGTTGGTTTCTGACTGGTGTTTAGGGCACATCTTCTGTCTTATATGATGTAAATAAAAAACACCGAGTATCTTTAATAAAAAATAAAGTCTTCGTCTCTCATTGCAAATGCATGCACAAACGTAGCTAGCCAAACCAAACCAAAGCTAGCCTTGCTGTAATGCTAAATCAAGCTGCTGTTTCTTAAAGGGGACATAAGCAAAACTCGCATTTTGTGTTGCCATGTGGGAACTGCTTCTGTAAACACTTCAAATGTTGAAAAAAAATATGTCTTTGTCTTTTCTGTCAGTGTTGGCTTTAGAAATAATGTGCCTAAAATAAGCGGTTTGAATAAGTCCCCGTTTGTGATGTCACAAATGAGAAACTGTTCATAGAACCAGCTCTCAACTCTCTAGGCTGGAGGAGCTGTGGCTCTACTTTGAGCCAATCAGAGTTTTTCAGGTTAAGCAGGGACAGGTGGGCATGGCCAGATCGTTTTCTTAAAGCGACCGAGCCCGGAAACGGCTCATTTTGGAAGGTACTGAAAATGTCAAGAATAAACTGCTGAAATCGCTTCATGTGAGGGGGATTCAATGCAAAGAACTTTTGTTTTGTACCAACCATATGAACATAATAACTTTTTTAAAAGTCATTATAGGTATTATCGAATTTTCCTTACAGCTAACAATGTTTAGCAATTTGAAAATTGCAAAAGTAAAAGTTCTTTTCTCCTTCGTGTGTAAAATTGATAGTGAGATTAGTTCCTTGAATCACCACAAAGAGGGCTGGAGGCTGTGCTTGTTCTCATAAATGCCTAACTTATCTAAAATAAATAAGTAAAAATGTGAAACTAAACCGTCCCATATTAATATCACAACCATTTCCAGCTTGAGGTAAGGGCCGTGTGTTTCTTCCTCTGATATAAATCCCTCAACAGAATAAATACCAGCGATTACAGACAACCAGCTAGGCTCTTGACTTTGTTGGCGTGTGAAATCTTGTACATTTATCACGTACAACACATTAATAACATGAGGCACAGACAGGAAATATTCTACATAGATTAAACTTTAAAAGTCATCGAATTAAAGGAAAATCTGTTATTTCTTTTTTAAGAAAACTGTCATAATTTTTTTTGCCATGTGATTTAACTGTTGAGACAGGAAGTCATTGATATTTGTGTAAACACAGAGGCAGTAACCTTAGTGGCTGCTCAAGGATGCTTTTAAACAGTGCCTCTTCATGCAGGATAGAAGGAAAAGTGGTTGCCATGTAAACTACAGCAATATACTTTTTTTCCTCCTGCTAAATTAGTTAATTTGGGTGTGCTTTTTAACAAATAAGTCGACAATTTCTTTAACAACATTTCTCCATGCACTGATTTATCACTTCCTTCCATCTTTCTTTCATTCAGTTCCTCTCTGTCTGTCCTCCATGTTTCTGTCCTCTTATCGCGTACCTGCAGACACTCTTTGTTTATGCACATTTGCAACGTTACACTCGCTGGCTGTGGGGTGTTAAAATGCTTTGCATGTTAACTGAGCTGCCAGGCGAGTATGGGCTCAGATATATCATCAGAAAGGCAAGAAAAAAGACAAATGGCGTGCACACAGGATTTACATGAGAGCATGCACTTTGCAAGCTGCCTTTCCAGTGAAAACATTTATGTATCATTTTGGATAATATCTATAGTGTCTTTCATGCACTGATGAGTAATAGTTGTAAAAACATACTTGAATCTGCACAGAAGAGCAAAAATTAAAGTACAAATGAACACAAACTGAAATTCATAATCAGATTTTTTCAACATTTACGCACGCACGCACGCACACACGCACACACACACACACACACACACACACACACACACACACACACATACACACACACACACACACACACACACACACACACACACACACACACACACACAGAAGGCTTATACTGTGCATCTGAATGAACGCTTTGAGAATGTATTTTCTATTGAGGACATCTGAAACATGATTTTTTAAAATGTAACTTTTTGATGAAACGGAGACAGAAGTGACTAACATACAACTGGTGACAGCTACACAGGGTTTTATAAGCTAGGTTTTCCTTTGCAGCTCTAATTTAAATCCCTAAAAAAAACGTACAAATCATCTCGATCCAGCATCTCACTGGGCTGATGCTATTATTAAGAATCAGAGGACTTCTGATTCTGGTTTTGAGGGCAGATGTAATTTCTGATCCTATTACATCTGTGACATGATACTAATTTTAGCTGATTGTGATTTATCTCAGGGAACACCAGAATACAATTTAACTTTTAATTTCCACTAAGTGAAAAATTGTGTCCAGATCCCAGTCTCACTTTGGTTTGTGTCACTCTGCTGCCACTTGAGTACTATAATGTGTAATTTTTACTATTAATCACTGGAAATATCCATGCAATTGTTGTTGTTGTTGTTGTTGTTGTTGTTGTTGTTGTCATGATTTTAATGATGCCCAGTTGTTGAAAATTATTGACGGCTTTGTAACATATGACCATAAAAATCGGGCTTATGTCTCTGGGCGATGCCATATTAGACGTGATGATTCCTTCTACAGGAGCCCATGAGGACAAAACGTATTTACAAGTGGTTACAAAATGTTTTGTCATTCATAAATGTTGTTTCAAATATTTACCTCTTCATAGTTGCCAGTGATGAAAAGGAGTGATGTCTGAACAATCTGACAAAGTACTCGATTGAAAATTGTGCCCCCAGGAAATTTTGACCCTAATGGCCACCCGTTGGTAAGACCTTACTCTATACTGCCTGCAATGATTTAGGTAAGTACTGCCCCATATCCCCGGGAAAATACATACTGTGAGTGTCACTTTAAAAAAAACTCCCCAGCTTGCTTATTACATCTTGAAAATATAAAGTTTTTACGCAATAAAATCTTGGTATAGAAAGGGGATCAGCCGAAACTCTATAACTTGGTTTTTGGTCAACATTGTTTATCACCTTCCAGTTTTTAATTACATGTGCAAACAGTTCAGTGGTAAACTAATTAAGAATGAGACCATATATATGTCACTTTAAATGCAGATATTTAATATTTGTGTTTCTGCAAAGGGTCCAGAACAGCTCTTATGGAGGAAATCTGAGATTTTCTGCAGAAAATGTGGGAAAACCTTTGGGGTTTCTTCCTCAGAGGAGCAATGCCTACGAGAGGAGGACGTAATTTTTCAGGTAAAACTTTGACCTTCAGCAGGTTACTTTTTTTCTGTGGAAACATGCAGGGAAGATATGTGGATGAAGAACCGACCTGTTCTTGTTGGCTAATAAACTGTTAGATGCTTAGGCGGACACACACACACACACACACACACACACACACACACACACACACACACACACAACACACACACACACACACACACACACACACACACACACACACACACACACACACGCACACACACACACACACACACACACACACACACACACACACACACACACACACACACACACACACACACACACACACACACACACACACACACACACACAGAAACTAAGATTAATTTGCCTGAGGCAAAAATCTAATTCTGTCTGGGGGTTCATGACATCACTATTCTGTTGAAAAAAAAGTGATACAATATTGAGAAACAACTGTCATGTTTAGAGGTCATCAAGGCTTCACAGGACCAACTCACAGACACTCAACCATCCACACACACCTACAGATAATTAAGAATCTCCAATTAATCAAATCAACATGTTTTTGGACTGTAAACTCAAACAGCCAAAGAAAGAACAGGACTCAGGTGTTCAGCGAGACCGTCAAACGTTACTTTTATCACCCATAATTTGAGTAAATGAAAACACAAAGAAAGAGTTTTGATATGGATCTTATAATAGAACACAAGAGAGGAAAAATATTTAAATACTGTTTATTGTGCCTCAAAACATGTTTCTAGTTTAAGGACTTGCAGTTAAAACTTAAGACAGGCTATAATGAAGCTGAAAAAACCCAAGTCAGACAAGAAACTAGGAGCCAGAGAATAGAACCGGATTAATATTGTAAATGCAGTAAGAGTGATTGTTTAAATTTTTCCTTTCACACTGAGAGAAGATCGTAATTTAATCTGCTTCAGGATGGCAAACAGGCAAATTTAACTAAACGTTAAAACAATTCTGCAACATCAGCATTATTCAGATTCCTGCGGGTCAGATTAGACGCCTGACATTTTAGAAATCACGGCCTTGATACAGATGACACATGAGATGAAACCCAACATCCTCTTTTAAAACTTCAGAGACTTTTTTTGGGGGGGGGGTTGGAGAAAGAAAGAGAGAGAGAGAGAGAGAGAGAGAGAGAGAGAGAGAGAGAGAGAGAGAGAGAGAGAGAGAGAGAGAGAGAGAGAGAGAGAGAGAGAGAGAGAGAGAGAGAGAGAGAGAGAGAGAGAGTCTTTGAAGACAGTCAAAGAAACAAGCAAAGCAGAAATACACCACTGATGATACAGAGTATCAAGAACTCTCTCTCTCCCCCTCTCTTTGTGTGTGTGTGTGTGTGTGTGTGTGTGTGTGTGTGTGTGTGTGTGTGTGTGTGTGTACAATTTAAGAATTTACCCAGCACTCCTTCCTGGAACATCCTGTAACCTTGTTACCACGCCATCATTAGATGCTCATTTAAACCAATCAGACTCCTCTAATCTAATCATATGGCATAAATTATGAAGGATTATTACTGCAAACATGGAGTTATTGACAGCTGGGATGCACCACTTGCTGAGCGTTCGTGGACTTGCATTCTGTTGGGGATTCACTACTACATTTATTCACTGTTGTCACCACATGTGTTCTGCTACATAAACCACTGTTGTGAGGGAAATGAATATGGTCATACAGACAACACAGAGCTCTGCTTCTCTTCTCTGCAGGGA